AGCACCAGGCAGGCTGGGGCAGGGCACATGACCGAGCCCAGCCCTCATTTCTCTAGGACAAAGCAGGCAGAGAGCCAGAGTCCAATGTGAACCTGGGACCACATCACACGAAAGCTGAGAGCCAGAGTCAAGGCAGAGAAAGGGAGGCATCATGCCCCAGGAGGCCCTGGCCACCCAAGCTTACACCCTGCCTCGGGGAGGGGCCTTCCAGGCACTTCCTGTTGGATCAGGAGCCTAGAAATTGCTCTGCCCATGACAGGAGCAGGTGAGAAGGCAGGTGGATGTAGGGTTGGTGGAAGAACCTTGAGCGAGCACAAAGCCAAGGCGAAAGAAGGCCACTCGTGAGAGGACAATGCCAGCAGCGCTGCACAGGGACACAGAATAGGGAATCGTAATCCCAACAACAGAAGCCAGCCAGGTCAAAAATATGATTTCCTCCTGTTCTCTGCTTCTGCTCTGGACAGGAGTGCTCCCAAAATCACAAAACCAGGGGCCCGGACCTGTGACCCTTTCTACTGATGAGAGCCAATCGATGCCAGCACCGCTTGAGTAAGTGACATGGTGCCCAGAGAAGTGAGACAAACCCAGACCTCTGTAGGGGGCAGGCAAGAGGGCTGAAGCCAAATTTCCAGGGCTGGAGGGGTTGAGCCTTCTGGCTGATTGCCACAGTCAGGGGTGGGGAGCACTTCAAACTCCCTGAATTCATTTCTACCCAAAGGAAAGTTTGAAAAGCTCTCCATCTTCAAAAATAACCTTTTCAAATGATTGTCCAAAAAATATGTTCAAGAGTGATTGTACCCACTCGCCTGGAGGAGCAGAACCAATCTTTTATCTTCTGTCTCATCTTGGAAAATGAGCTGGTGTCGAGGGGACCTGTGACAATGGCCCGGCAAGCCTTCTGAGAATTCCTGTGAGTCATCTGTCTCCCCAGAGGGACCAGCGCAGGGCTTTGCACACAGTAGGCACGTGGCTTGAAAGCCTTCTAATGGGCTTCAAAACAAGAGAAAAGAAAAGAAAGCCTCAAAGTCGGACAAGGAAAGAGCCCACCTCCTGCAGAAACCCACCAGGTGGACACTCCCTGACATAAGCACCTTCCGCCGGCTTCCCTCCCTGGTTTGCCCATCTGGGAAGGATTGAGGACTTGCCACCTGTTGGCAATCCACTCTCTAATTGGGGGCATTTCCCACTGACGTGTATGCTGTCGGATGGCAGGGATGGTCCCCTCTCCATCACCTCCATCTCCCCATGAAGCCTGGAAGACTGTCCTGGTCACAGAAGTGACTCAATGTGCAATTGCTATACAGCTAGTTTCATTTTTAATTTCTGAGACAGCTCAGGGCAGGGAGGCAAAGAGGCCCAACATAATGAATGGACAGATGGCTGATTTCTCTGCCAGTGAGTTGTGGAGCAGAGAGCCAGAGTCCCACCTTGGTTCCCAAAGGTACCCCCCCACCACTGGCCGAGTCTCCCCGGTTAACACCTGTTTGCTTGTGTCCTGAAACTGCCACCCAGACATTCCTTCCTGCCATTAAGCCACTTGCACTTTCAAATGCCTCTGAAACAGAAGCCGAGCTGGAAGAACACATCCATTGATAGAGCCCCCAGCTCCTCTCCCAGGGCCTCCAGGCCCCTTTCATGAAATCAGATTCTGACTTGAAAAGAACTCAGTGAGTGTGGGGTTCTAACTCCACCCGGCTCAGGAGTCCTGGGGAAAACATCTCCAATATGTGGTCCTCTGTCTTTTGATTTAATTGTGCTCCTGACAAAGAGCCAACCACCTCCTGACAGCCTAACTGTTCGAATACTCTTCCTTGGGCTGAGCTGACATCTCAGCCTGTTGGAACTGTGTCCCAATGGTCCTAATTCTACCCTCCCAAGCCACATAAAAGACATCTTAGTGCCTCTTCCCCAGGATGATCCTGTAAAGGGCTGGAGACAATATTCTTCACGATGAACTGGGAACTATACTTCCCTAACCTATGGGCTCAGGGGCCACCCTCCAGCCGAGCCCTGCAGGTGATATACATCTGCACTTTATTTACCGCAGACAGACAGCCCCTCGCTCCTTAGCCTGGTAACAACCCGAGGTCATTCATCACCACTTGCTCCTTTTTGAAATTCACTCTGCAGCAAGCACTTTTAAAGTCATACACGTAATGCATTTTAAAGAGCGTTTTCTGCACGGAGCCATTTGCTTGGCCTCGGCACTAAGCGTGAGATGGAACAGTATTTTAGTGTGGTCCCCCTGCTCTCGGAGCCTGTGTCAAATGAACGCCAGAAATGTACCTGTAGCTATACATGACTGGGGCTCTAAAGGCGGTGCTTTGTTAAATGTTCGTTTGTTGATTAAAATGCATCTTACAAAGAAAGTGCATGTCTAATGCAGACTGTAGTCCAAAACTACCTATTATGTAATGCACATTTTTTAATAATGCAGGCAATCTCGTGTATCTGTATTAGTGGATCGGCTCTGAGCTGCCATCTCCATTACAGGCAGAAAGCACTCCTTCTGCAAAACGAAGTACTTTCTTATGTCCACTAAAGAATCATAATCCCCCTCATTGCTGACAGCTGACATTTGTCTCCATTGAAAGGGCATTCAGCAGCACCCACATCTGCCTGATTTTTTCCCAGTGTGCCCTGAGAACCACTCAAATGATGTCTTTATGTCCCACTCACTGTCAGGGGGTGCTGCACTGGTTGAAAGCAAGCAAGCAGACGGGTCAGTGTGAGCAGAACCTTTGGAAATGTCTCCGGGCAGGGCTGAGACCAGGATTTGAGATCTAGGGCTCCAAAGAACCCTGTCCCCTGTCCTGTAATAACATCCATGTGTGATTGGTGCCATCCAAACATCTGTGACAGTAAAACCCTTTCGGTCGCTCTGGACCGAGGAGGAGGGCACAACAAGAATGCAGACATGTGCCCTTTGACGAGGTCTGCAAATCGATTCCACTTTATTAGACCAATCAGTATTTTAATGCTACAAACGAACTCAATGAACTCAAGACACAAGACAGGCACTGCCGAGAAGCCAGGTCAGGAACATTCAAGACCATTCACAGCCAAGAAGCAGATATAAAACCTCCCCATGTCCAAAACAGTGGCTAGGATCTCAGTAAAACAGTGGCTAGGATCTCACTAAGGTCTTAACTCTGGGCTTGACAGCTCTAGGGCGAACGTGGAAGGACAGGGGTGAGGGTGCGCTCCACCATGCTGAGGAAGCTCTGTGCATGCAGGGCACTCTACTGTGGACTACCGCTCTGCGGTAGAAGCAGAACCACCTCATAGAGGAGGGACTACCCTGAAGGTCCCGTGGTTAAGAATCCACCTGCCAATGTAGGGGATGCGGGTTCAGTCCCTGGTTGGGGAAGATCCCACGTGGCATGGAGGAACTAAACCCATGTGCCACAACTACGGAACAATAGAAGCCACCGAGATGAGAAGCCCCTGCTTCCCACAACCAGAGAAAATCCAAGCGCAGGAATAAAGACCCAGCAGAGCCATAAAGAAAGAAAGGAAAGAAACAGAATCGCCTCATGGACTCTTCAAGTCTCCGCCACATTGACTCAAAGACAAGAAAAGCCACCTGTGCCACCTGGAAGCTTGTTGGTACTTGCACAGACTTGAGGAAGATGGTTTTGCTGAGTCATACCGCTGGTGGACCTGTCACTAAGGTAAAAGTGATGCTCCATATTTGAACGAGGTGGGCAGAAGCAGCAGTCAGGTTGCAACCGGAACCCCCGAGCTTCCAAAGTACCACCCTTTCCTGAGCAAGGACCACTCCAGGGACCCCCTCCAGGAGAACATGGAGCTCTCTTGATTTTCCAGAGCCAAGAGATGGTCTCATCTCCTTTGGGGTTCAACAATATGACCTAGGGGGTGGTCTCATCTCTTTGGGGTTCAACGATATGACCTAGGGGGTCTAGCTGTCCTCTAGCCTTAATACTCTGGTTGACCTAATAAATTTTCTCACATAGAATGCACACTGGATTAAACAATGCTGATGGGTAAGGAGTGGGTCCTGAGTGGTTTAATGCTCTGATTAACCTAAGATTAGTCCTAAAGATTCTCTCCTTAATATAAGATTGCCTTTCCTTTCCTCTTCTTCCTACTCTACCATCCTTAGCACCTAGAACAAAGGTTGGCAAGAGCTAGGCATTCAATATTTGTTGAATGACTGCACTTTTTTGTTGGAAACGTGTGAAAAGAGCTGTGAACGGTACCCGGCGGTTTCCTTGATAGCCGGACGCCCTGCAGCGCCCTCCAGGGGCGGCGAACTGGTTTGCACGTACTGAACATCAGCACAGATCTTCCCTGAGGGATGTTCTGGGCAAAGAGACACTTTAAGCTCGCGACCCCATCTAGAGCTCAGGGTGGCCCACCAACAGGTTTGGGGAAGTGTAAAGCATCACCTCGTCTGTCTGTGAGCGTTCTTCTTAGAGAAGATGCTTATCTAACCATTTCGTAATTAATTAGTCGCTTTAGATCGCATTGGGGAGGGGACTGGAAACGTCTAATTACAGTCTCTAGACCAGATCTGTCATAGTTGTCTCACGATTAATGATTGCCTGAGATTACCCTTTTCCAACTATAATATTAAGCCCTTGGAAAATGCCCTGGACTGGATAGTTAATAGGGTCGTACAGATGCTCATTCCTCCAGAATACCTGCAAATTTTTTAGCTGCTTCAGGCTTTGTTGAATTTATCAATAACCCGAGAGAAGCTGGGGAGGGGTCCAGACCCCATGGAGAACCCATGCCCCGCTGCGCAAACACTCTAACCTGTGGCTCGCTGGCTGGCTTGCTCGCTCACTCCATGGCACCCGCCTGGTCCCCCAGCCGCTCGCGACGTCCAAAATCTTTCAAACAAGGTTCCCTCCTGCCACCTGCCGGTCCACTAGGGTCTGAGCCTCGGCTCCGCGCCACCGCGCAGCGCGCGAGGAGCCGCCCCCGCCTCCCTACTGCACATGCCCGGCAGAAGTCCGGGCGCGCAACTTTGCAGAACCTCTCAGCCCCGTCTGTCTTCGCCTCAGTCTCCTCTTTCCTCTCCCAGGCGAGAGGACCAGCGGAGGCACCTCTCCGGAGTCTTAGGCTGCAGAGTCTAAGACTTAGAGAGAGGGGCCCCGGAGGAGACGGACTTTGCCACTCTTTTTCCCATCCCTTCTTTCTGCCCAGAGAGGCAAGCAGAGGCGCGGAGCTTTAGAAAGTTGAGTGGTCAGGAAGGTAGGTGCTTCCCTTTTTCCCCTCGAGTCGAGGTGGGGCTGGGACCACTGGACCCAGCTTCTTCCCTCGCGAGGAGCACCTTTGTCGGCTCTAGCGGCCGATGCGCTTCGGAGCTGCTCTCTGCAGAGCCAGAGGGTGGGTCGGATTCGCCGAGTGTGCGTGAGGATGGATCGTAGATCCCGACTTCAGCCAGGGCGCCGAGCTCGCCACAATTACAACGATCTGTGCCCACCCATAGGCCGCCGGGCAGCCACCGCGCTCCTCTGGCTCTCCTGCTCCATCGCGCTCCTCCGCGCCCTTGCCACCTCCAGCACCCGCGCCCAGCAGCGCGCGGCTGCCCAGCGCCGGAGCTTCCTAAACGCCCACCACCGCTCTCCCGCCCAGGTATTTCCCGAGCCCCCTGAATCTGACCACGAGGACATAGACCTCGAGCCCTCCCTCCCCGAGTGCCCAGAGTACCAGGAAGAAGAGTTCGACTACGAATCCGAGACCGAGTCCGAGTCTGAAATCGAGTCCGAGACCGAATTCGAGACCGAGTCTGACACCGCCCCCACCACTGAGCCGGAGACCGAGCCCGAGGACGAGCGGGGCCCCGTGGTGCCCAGGCGCCCCACCTTCCACCAATCTCTCACCGAGCGCCTCAGCGCCCTGAGGCTGCGGAGCCCCGACGCCTCCCCGGCTCGTGCGCCGCCCAGCACTCAGGAGTCTGAGAGCCCCCGACAAGGGGAGGAGCCCAAGGACAAGGATCCGAGGGACCCCGAAGAGTCTGAGGAGCCAAAGGAGGAGGAGAAGCAGCAGCAGCGCCGCTGCAAGCCGAAGAAGCCCACCCGCCGCAACCCATCCCCCGAGTCCCCTTCCAAAAGGGGGCCCATCCCCATCCGGCGTCACTAATGGAAGACGCGCCCCGGATTCTCCTTGTGTTCTTTGACCCAGGTTAGTTGCCCACCGCTAAACTGGGGAGTCTGGGGTCGGTGCAGGACCGGCGGGAGGAAGGGAGGAAGGAGAGGCAGGTTAGAGGGAAAGCGGGAAGAGAGCGGGTTCGGTGAGCCAGCCCGGGAGGGCCAGGGGCACAGGGCCCAACTCGGAAGGGCTCCCCAGGTCTCCCCCAGGGTGCTGGTGGGCGCCCAGGGGGCCACACGCTTGTTGGACAGTGGGGCGTCTTTGCGCCCCTCTGGAAACAGCCAGAGGTCTCCAAGCTGGTGTCCAGGACGCGCGACTGAATCCCGGGCGTACCCCAGGTTCCAAGCTGCACACCCAGAAGGCACGGGTAAGTCACTTATTTTACGTGCTTTTTCCCTCCTAGAGAAACTACTCTCAAACCAGTTGGCCTTGGCGGGTGCCAAAAACGTGGTTCGGAAGTACTCACGCCAACTTTCACAAAGCAGAGCCGCCGCGCTGTAGCGACACTGTTGCAATGTGCGAAAAGTAACCAGGCTGGGATTGGGTGAGAACTCCGGAGACTTGCCCGCTCCCAGAAAGTCTCTCGCGCGCGCGGCCCTTAAGGCACTTGGAGCCTGGAGCCCAGGACGCGTCGCTGCCAATTTGGAGCCGCGGGACCTCGGCGCCAGTGCCCCTCGCGGCTGTGCGCCAGTTCTGGCCGCCACCGCCCGTCCCCGGGCGCTCGCGGGGCCAGAGACCGCTGCAAAGAGCGTGCGCACCTGCCTGCGCGCCTCGTAGCCGACCTCCCCGAGCCAGCCGGCGGTTCCCCACGAATCACCTGTGCTTGGAGGGCAGGCAGAGGAGGTACGGGAGTTTCGGGAGGTGCCCGACGGACTACCAGGGTTGGGGGCGCAGACATGGTCGTGTCGCGGCATCGCCAACCTTCTGGCGCAGCTGGTCTGTGGTGAGACTGGGTACATCTTGGCTGGAGAGGTCCCGGGCTTTTTGCGCAGCTGCCTGGGGATGTTAGATAGTAGCTAAAAGGTCAGCGAGGTGGTCGCGAGCGGAAAGGTAAAGCGGAACAAGAAACAGGCTGGAGACGGAGTCGCGCCTATCATCAGGGAACCCCACAACGCACCCCCAAAGAGCGCATAGCCAAAGAGCGCATAGCCAAAGAGCGCATTCCGAAAGAGCGCAGCACCCGCCGAGCTGGGGAAAGGTGTAGGAGCCGCCGCAAGTCCCTGGGCGATTAGTTGAGAGAAGGAAGGGGCCTGAGGCTCCGGCAGCCTCGGGGAGGGGAGGGCAGGCGGCGGGCACCGGCCATTTTTGGCTCGGGTGGGGCTAAGTTTGGAATCTGTAACCTGAAGGTAAAGCTGGAGCACAGAAACAGCCGCAATCCGGTAACGCATCTTCGGTGCGTAAAGTGTGCCTTTCTCGCCAATCCTGGGGGGAAAGACTAGTTAGTAAAAATGTATTTACAAAACCTCCCCCGATTTGGAAATTGATCTTTTCTTGTTGCGCGGGCGTCTCGTTTGGTGCCGGTTTGAGCTATTCTGATGAGAAGGATTTGGGGGGGAAAGTGAGGCGTTTGGAGACTTGAAAAGGCGGGTCGGGTTCTTAGACTCCTAAAATAAGGTTTCGGTCTATATGCAGAACATATCTTAAGGGATCTTCTTTCCAGGTCTCCGCCCGGGGGAAGGCGTCGCGCCGCCCCAAAACAGCTCTGGTGGGCTGCGGCGCTGACTAATGGCTCTTGGATGCTGTTCTGGTCTTAACTAGTAAATAGCGGCGAGGGGGCTACCCTGGGCAGCGGGGGAAGTGTCCAGAAGTCTGGAGGCTGCCAAGGACTTGGAGGCGGGTCCCGCGTGCCCTGTCTTTGGCTTGAAAGCGTTAAACTGCCTAAGTGAAATGGGGTTCCCCAAAGCTGACATTTCTATTTAATGTAAAAACGGCGGCGCAGTATTCCTATCAGAAGCATTGAAAAGTGCTGGCTTTTTCTCTGGTGATGTCCTGGCAGCCTGAGCTCACCCAGTAAAAGGTCTCTGGTGAATAGGCGACTGCGGTCAGGATGCTTTTCAGTGTGGGGGCTGCCCTCCCAGGTTGGAGAGTCTAGGGGGACCGTTTTCCTGCAGAGCTGGGTTTTGCATTAGAAAAACTAGCATGTTGCTTTAGCATATACAAATTGAAAAAAAAAGTCAACGCCCACACCTGTCACCCCAGTCTCAGGCTGTTTTTTTAAACAGAAGCCTGCGGGGGAGAGGGTGGCTTTCTTAATTGTAGGCATTGTACCAGGTTAGCTGAAGGGGTGGGGGGCAGGGTCCCCCCTTCCAGGAACGCACCTCTTTCAGACACTCCTCCATTAACTCCCAGATTGAGAAAACCTGTTACCCTCCCCCACTCAGTCCCCTTCCCCCACCCCCTCCCTCCTTCCATCCTGATTCCAGGGTGGAAGAGTCAATAGAAAGAATCAGAACACCTGAGGAACTTACCAAAGCCCTGTGAGGATGACCCCCACCCCACGGAGAGGGGCTTTTGCTATACACACGATTCAAAAAGCCCTCTTTCTACCTAAGACACTGGTGTTTAGCTGCCTTTCTCTCCCAGAAGCATTTCTGGCAAGTTCTCCAAGCATTCCCCACTCTCTAGTCTCCCAACTAGCCCTTTGTCTTGCTCTGCTGCACCGAGGCATTAGCATTTGAATGGCCTTATTTGCCCTTGCAATTTAGGAAATTGGCTCCCAAAAAGCAGCCCTTAGAGTTGACCACAGGGGTGAATTACCAGCCAGTTACACGGTTTCGACTGGAGAGGAAAAGAGGAAGAGGAGGGGAAAACTAGTCAAATAAAGCTGGTTAAATGGTCTGCTCCAATATCCAGGATTTTTCGTTTTGCTACATTAATCATTTGCTTAATAAAAATGTGCTTTTTCTTGGACAAAAGCGTTCTTTTAGCTGAACTTGAGTTGGGAAATTATGCATCAGTGTTCAAATACTGTGTGGTGTCAACAGTCTGATGTAGGTTTACTTCTAAGGTTTGGCAAACAAAACATTTAATGTTTATCAGAATTTGGGAATTGGGAATTTTAAAGTTTGGAATTGTTTTAAGATAATGTCTATTATCTTAAATAGTCTATTTGTAATATGTAGCCCCCCAAAGGTTAAAATACAGAACAAAAATGGTATGTTAAATCACTTAATTTGACATACATTAGTTTTTCTTAAACACTTTAAAAAAAAAAATCTCATGCATTTGCAACAGAGGTAAGATTGGTTTGGGGGGGAGTGCAAAAAAACCTTAGCTACTCCGAGAGCCCACAGATAATGTCTATTAACGCACTCAAAACTTTTCCCCTGGAACTGCTATCACCCCTTTACTCTTTAGCCTCAGTTTTAGCAGCTGTGATAGAAGGTTTAATGAGGAAGGAAGCTGAAACTTCAGTGTTGTTAAAAAATAAGTTTAAAAAAAAAATGCATAGATTTTACTCAGTTTTTCTATATTATCACTGCACTTCATGTAAAGGGAGGCTACAGAGAGGAAACTGAGCAAAAATCTTGGTGGCTGGGAAAGTATGTCTCAACAGAAAGGTGACCAATTACAAACAAATCATTAGAATCAAATCAAGCTTCCAGAGTGATGTCATATGCCAACTCAAGGACTGCCCTTCCCTTAAAAATTGTCCTGCAAAGAGGCAATGAGATTCTCAAATTACATCTTTAATCCCGTTTCAGAATGAGGGCTGGAATCCCTCATCCTGTTCTTCGGGTTTGCCATTAATGTTTTCTAAATTCTGATGCCCCAGAGCTGGACAGCTGGGTCAAAGACCTCAGGCTCATCGCCCAGCCCTGCCTGAGGTCAGGCCCAGAGGTGTTTGCCTCAGTTTCTTCATGTGGAACATGAAGGAGGTGAAGAGCAGGTCCTAGCACCCTTTCTGCTCCCAGTACCTACAGGGTGACTAAGTAAAGCCCAGAGTTGCCCAATTTGACTCAGATCAATGATTTTAATGTTAAAGGAGCCTCCCCCGCCAAAAAAAAAAAAAAAGAAAGGCTGATAAAATAAAAACACCAGTTGTGAAGAAATCTTTCTGTTTTGTGTTTGTCTAATTTGATTTTCTCAAATCTGGTTTTGCGTTGGGGGCAAAAATGGTGTAGAGGCAAGTCAGAAAAAAAAAAATTCATACATAGGATTTAGAGAACTGAGGCAGACAGGTTAGGGAATTCCTAATCCCACCACAACCTCTTACTAATAAGGATGGGGGGGTGGTGAACAGCCTTCTGAAGAGCAGCTGTTACGCTTAAGAGCTGGTTTGTTTTAGGTGTGCTGTTTTCTCATCTGCCCTCCTTCATCACAGGGTCAGAAGATAGGCTCTTCAGGGTGGGGGCAGGCAGCCTGGAGATGCCTACCGTTTGGGGAGAGAGCAGACAAATGCTCCGTCAAACTGACCACAAGTGCTGAGTATATGTTCTGGTAACACAAGTGCCCTGATGAGGACTGACCTGAAAAATTGGCTCAGAGGCTGCAGCTAGTTAAGATAAACTAGTTTTCTTTCAGCCTTTTTCCCCCTTCATTAATCGCTTCCTCCCAGGAGCTTTTTCAGACATTTCTTTCTGAATTAGTCCTGACTCATGAAATGTGAATACCACAGATTCAGAGACACACCGTGTATCTGCCTCTCTACTGTGGGCTTTCGGAATAGCTAAGGTTTTTTTGCACTCCCCCCCCAAACCAATCTTACCTCTGTCGCAAATGCATGAGATTTTTTAAGTGTTTAAGAAAAACTAATGTATGTCAAATTGAGTGATTTAACATACCATTTTTGTTCTGTATTTTAACCTTTGGGGGGGCTACATATTACAAGGCTATATATAAGATGAATTTTACTGATGTTTGTTTTCTTTAAATCTTGTGTTTTTTCCCCCAAGATCCCCGAGACTGGTGCTAGTGAATTCACATGGCAGAGAAGCCTGAGTAAGCAGCCTAGTGACTTAGTTCTCCCAAGGCCAAGAGTGTGCAGTGCGGGGCCACTGTCACCTGTTGACAGCACTCAGCCAGTAAAGGCAAGACATCGGAGAGGAGCTGGCACTGCGACACCCCCACCTCCCCATTCCAGGGCATGCAGTGCTGTAATTCAGTGGGAGATTGAGGACTACAAAAGGAAAGTGTGGGGGAAATCACAGGAAAAAGGAAAGATGGAGGGAGATGAGACGCCTGAGAAGAAAGGAGGCTGAGGTTTGGAGATGGGGGGGTATCACAAAACCTGTGTTAGGGCTAGAAAGAACAGGCTGAAGCAAGGGAGGAAAAGGTTTAGAGGAGCCTCCATGGCAGCCTTCAACATCAGCTTAGTATTAGAGCATTTTTCACAGCTGAGGGTGACAGTGGATTAGCCACCCTACAGTCACTGTCCCCCTGACAGTCTCTTACAGGCCTGGCCCAGAAATTTCAATTTCATAGGTGCAGTCGAGTTGTCATATATATATACCTCAATTGCTTCAGTCAAATGGGAAGATTTACAACCTAGGAAACCTTGCTTTATATGGTTTAAATCCTAAGTCCTGGATTCTGGTTCAGGGAGAGTCCCCAAATCTCAAACTTGAGGGGTGTGAGGATCACAGAGTCCAAGACTGCCCCCACCCACCCCCAAGCTGAAGAAGACAAATTTTTCCTCCCCCAGGCGAGAGCCAGCTTCTGAGTGCCCTGGCTTATGTTGCTGTCTCAATTAGATTTCATTAGAAGACTTTGCTCTGGGTAATTGAGATTGTGCACAAAGGTGAAATATACCATTCCCCTTACAAAGTCAAGGGGAATAAGTCATGCAGCCAAGAAGCCCCTGGGGGCCTGGAATTTCCACCAAGAATTACCGAAATTTCAAATAGAGCTTCCACTAAAGCCAAATTTCTCTTCTGGGATTTCCTCCCACCATCTCTGCCCCCAACTTTTGCCCCCTCTTAGTCCTCTTCCCAGGGTGGTGGTGTTCATCTAATCTGGAATAGCCACTTCCTCCCCTGGAATTCTGGAATAGCCACTTCCTCCCCTGGAATTCTCGGCTGCACCATCAGCCAGCCCAGAGGAGGAATCCACAGCTCCATCCAGGTGGCTGTAGAGAATGTCTGGACCCCCCCGACAAGTGCAAGGGAGTCAGGTGCCAGCCTCGTGTCTGGCTGCAGAATGGGGTGGCCATTCCAAGATGAGGGCCACCAAGGACAGCTAGTGAGCTGAACGAAGGGACTAGCTGAACGAAGAAGTCTGAATTCTTGGTGGGAACCCTTGGCCCCTGGGGCTTTTTAATATAAGATCAAGTCTTTTCACACCTATGGCTGCCACTTTCTGTAATGTCAGCTCTGTGCCTGCTCCTAAGCCTTATCCATTGGAGGCATTTTCCCTGCACTTGGCATTTGCTGAAATAGCCTGGTCACGCAGACCCTTCTGCAGACAGCAGTAGGCTGCTGCTGCCTCCACTGGCTGAGGCTGGCAGAGGAGATGCTGGGAGGTAAAAGGATGGGCGCAGTGAGTCCTAATTGAACAGTAATTAATTGAACAGCATCAAAGTCTTATTGCTACTCAGTCAGCACTCAGAAAACATTTGTCACTGGGAGGCTGAGAAACGTAATCGTTGCCTGAATTCTCTTCCCTTTGTCCTCTCATTTCTGCTTTTGCCTTTTCCTCACAACTGGTGAAAAGATTCTCCTTTTCCTCACTTGACAGTAACCCACTGCCAGCTAATGACACATGGGGGCTGCAGAGAAGGCTCTGCAAACTGGCCCCCTTCCAACCATCCCCCCACCTTCCGGGAAGAAATGCCCCTACCAGGGGAAAAGCGATCGTTTTTTGTCCTGGTTTGTGCTCTCTTCTCTCTTGCCTACCTCCCCTCCCTCTCCAGGGACCCTCTTCCACTTTGCTTTCTCTTTATTGGATACAGGGATGAACTAAAACAGAAAGCTGATAGGCAGCTACTTACAGTCTGGATAGGCCATGTGCCTTTAGCAATGAGTAAGAACCTCCAGACGTAAGTACACTGACAATCGTTCACTGATTATGACGTGTGCTGCCATGGAGGCGTCAATAGAGCAGAAGACGGAGTTGGGGCGGGGGGGAGGAGTGCGGTGGGCAGGGAGTCATGTGGGGCCGCCAAGGAAGGGGGCCACGTCCCTGCAGGTAACACTGATGCTGTTTAGAGTCAACAGTGAAAAAAATACTGTCTTTCCATTTGGGGTTATTTCTTTACAAAAAGCCAGCTGATCACTCCCTGTGGCACCTGGCCTGTCAGGTCTGAACAGACTGACTTCCTTAAAAGTGCAATGTTTAACTGAAACATGCGTAGTATTTCCCATCCTTTCTCAATGCATGAAGTGTAGAAACCCTGTTCTTTTTAAGTAGTTGAGGATACACAATTTTCAGGAAACCTCCACCTGGCTTCTGACAGCCCAGCCTTTTCTCCTCTCAGAGTACCATTTCACTGCAGACCCTAGCACAAGCCCTGCTGGGTGGGCACCAAACCCCAGCCTGCAGCTTCACCCCAGCTCAGTCTTTCTTCAGGCACCCTGCCTAGTCTCTGCCTTCCTCTTCTGGGCCACATGAACCCATTAACTAATGTTCCTTCCCACTTCGTGCTCATTTCTAGAAAATATTTACCTCTTCCCTAGAAAATATTTACCTCTTCCCTGATAGAAATCCATCCAGAATTGGAAATCGATGTCTAAGGTAATACTTTGCGATTATAAATCATAATGGCCGATCTTAAAAACTGGGCCCCCTTGGAGAAGGAAATGGCAACCCACTCCAGTATTCTTGCCTGGAAAAATCCATGGACAGAGAAGTCTGGCGGGCTGAAGTCCATGGGATTACATGACTGGGCATGTGTGCACAAGGGTGGAGGGAGATGGGTTGGTAGCAATAAATTGGTAGAACTAAAAAAAATAAAAAATAAAAAAAATAAAAACTGGGCCCTCTGGCCACCTCCATCCAGGTCAAGGCCACGTTTCTGTCTTGGCCAACAAGATCACCAGCCCTGAATGGGCTCGCCAGACAGTCCCACCAATCAGAGTGGCCCCCAGTTAGCGCCTCAGCTGATCACCCCCAGCTCTTACCATACTGGTTTCTTGGGCCCCTGCGGCAAGGCTCCCCAGCTGCCTTTCAGGTTAGCCACCTCTTCCAACATCTGGCTACCCTTCTGCCAGTCTCTCAAGTCCCACTTCTGATTTGTGGTGAAGCTTCAGCTCTGATCCCCACTCATCCAAGAGATTTGGGGTTTTCAGATCCTGGTAGCCAGTCACTACGGTGAAATAAAGAGAGGATAAAAGGGGGGACACTGGAGTTAAATGCCGCAATCTCTTCTTCTTGATCCTCATTTACCTTTAAATTAAGGCAATTGCTACTTGAGTCTGAGGGTCCTTTCTCAGCCCATGGCAGAGGGGCGGTTTTGCCTCCCAGAGGAGGCTTGGCAACATTTAGAGACATTTTTAGTTGCTACAACAAAGGGGATGCTGCTGGTATCTAGTGGGTAGAGGCCAGGGATGCTCCTAGATGTCCTCCAGCGCCCAGGCCAGTCCCCACAGCACAGAGCTCCCTGGCCCCAGAAGGCAACCAGCGAAGAGGCAGAGAAATGACCATCTAGATGAGCGATGCAGACCAATTCTTAAATTCTTACCTCTGCCATGCTCCCACCCGGGAGCCCTTCCTAGGCCCACCAGTCTTTCCTGTAATGTCCCCCCCTTTTTCTCTCCAGTGCTCCAAGTGTTTGAGAGCCTATCACCAAATTTATTTCTCCCCTTGAAGATTTTATCTGATAGAGTGATTTCATATCCTAATAAGGATTACTGTCACTTTGAACTTGGGGTTTTGTCTTGACTTTGGTCCCGTCCTCCTAAATAACAGGCTGAAAGAAATCTCCACCCAGACTGTACCTCCTTCCCCCCTCTGTCAGGTCCAAAACCAGACTGGCTAGGCACCATGCCAGCTTTTCTCCAGGTCCTCCCTGACTTCTCCATCCTAGGTGCCAGACTTGGGCTCCCCTGCCCCTTGCATGTTGCACCAGGGAGTTTCTGGAGGGTCCTCTGGGATCCCTCTGAGTCCCTCCCTCCAGCCTTCTTGCTTCCTTCGCTGTGCCTGTTTCTCTCTTCCTAAAAGGTCAGGACCAGTCAGGTCCTCCTGTGTTCTCTTCATCAGGGCCATCCTCCACACTGCCTCAATCCTGCCCTAAAACTAGGCTCAATCCTCACTTGCAGGATTTTTTTTAAAAAGTTCCATATCTGTTCCATTTCCTACCAAAGAAGCCTCCAAACTGCTTGCCCTGCTATTCCATGGCATCCTCAGAGAAACACTATCCAGTATTCCCTGCCTTTTTCTCCCACTGCTCCCCCCAGGCCCAGCCAGGTGACCTGATCTCTTTACCCAGCCGTGTGCCATGTTTCTTACTATTCGATCTTTGTTCTTGGTAGGCCGACGTCTCCCATCCCCCCCCCCCCCCCTTTTGCTCCCAGCCTAGACATCCATCCCTCCGTGGAGACCCATCTGTAACTCCATTTTCTCCAACAAGGTCCCCCCCCCCCGCCCCAGTTGAAGGGTCTTTTCTTTCATTTTTATGTTGCTTAGCCTCTAGGAGGGAGGATGTTGTCGGCCCGATCTTCATCCCATCGGTGCGTGTGCTCTCCTGGCAAATAATCCAGGTGCTAGACGCTCCTGGGGATGTAGAACAGACTCTCTGCACCCATTCCTTGTTGAATGGTGCTGTGGAAAAGAGCCTCGGTGACGTGGGCTGCGCGCGAGGCCTGGCGAGTGTAAACCGTCCCTTTAGGGCCCCCATCGCGGCCTCCTTGAGGCTCCAAACCGCGACGCCTACTGACCTTCCACTTTGGCAGGGCTCAGCATCCCCGCGACCTCAACTCCTTATCCATCTGGGGCTGATCCTCTGCATCGGGGCAGTGAGCCCCCTCTCTCCTCAGGGTCTTGGCCCTCTACCTTCAGGCCCTTTCGCCTCCTCCTCGCCTCGCCCTGGCAGCGGATCCCTCTTAGGGGTTTACCCACCGCCATCGGCGAGAACGAGAGCTGCTCCCTGAGAGTCCCCACCTCCCCTTTCAGCCTCGGTGACCTGGGGCGTCAGAAAGTGACCCCACAGTGCCAGCCGGCCTCGTGGCGGCCCAGGCCTGACCGCCATACGCCCGCCCACCAACCGCTCCAAACCACCCCAGCGGCACAACCTCTTAGGGCGTTCCAACGCGGCGCCCCCTATTGGACCTCCCACTCATATCCGGTTTCCGGTCTGGCGCCCCCCGTTCATTCGCTAGGCAGCCTTGATTGGCGTGACCCCAGCCCAATGGCTGACCCAGCGCTGGGGTCGGAGGGGAGTGAGTTGACTGTTGCGACCCAGTTGGCACATTCCGTGGATGCCCAAAAGGTTGAGCCGTTACGCGTGGGGGTAGTTGTCCAAAGTTTGAACCAAAGTTCGGTGTTGGTACTTGGAAGTGTTTGACCCGAAGAGCTGAGATGATACGCCCTTCGGGGGGCTCCAAACGTTACCCGGGGTCCGACTTTGTCCGTTTTCCTCGGCGCAGCTCATCCGCATGAGTGGTGGTTTACAGGGGCAGTGATGCGCAGTGGCTCTGACCCCCTCGTTCAAAGAGGGATGTGTTAGGTTTAACAAGGTGGGAGTGTGTGTGCGTACGTGGTTCGCCTGGCTGCGGCTCGTAGATACAGCGATCCAGGCGATGCGATCTAAGTGATGCGCCCCACTTGCCGCAGCCCACCTTGCACGTACCCAGCCATCCCTCCCCACGCCCTAAGGCCAAGTGATCACCTCCTCCTTGCCCAGCTACCTTACACCTAAAAGTGGCTCATGGGTCCATGTCACGCACTGGCGAGACAGATACGATGCCTGAGTCCCGGGTCTTACGTGAACCACACGCAGCAAATTTTTCCTGGGGCTCAAATCTCTCCGCAACCCCCCAAACCTTGATCTGTGTGCATGGACATGTCAAGCCCACCCAGGTGGTCTTGGCATTTATCCCTGCCGGCTCTGAGCCCACCACGCGCTACAGCTACTGCGATGGGAGCTCAAGCCGGGCGACTGCCGGTTTTGTGGCCGGACTCTGCCGCCTCAGCGGGCTCAGGCATTGGAAAAGTAAAGCAGCTGCTCTGGGGGACCCGTAGCGAGACGAGAAGAACTTGAAGGGGGCTGGAGAGGGGCTAGAGGAGCTGACTGACCAACCCCGCGGCCGGTGCCCAAAGCGGGCAACAGCGCACCGCGGTCGCAGCTGCCCGCACGGCACGGTGTGTATCTTTGGATTCGGTGCGCACGGGGTTTTTCCGTCTCCGAGACCACCTTAAACCGGCCATAAATCTCAACTGAAATTCCATTTAGCCCTTTCCCAGAACAGCAGGAACTCTGGGGCCTTCAGTCTGTGGGGTCCCTGTGTGCGTCCCGCAACCCCCAGTTCCGTGCCGCGGCAGCTACCGCTTGGAGGGTCTTGGTAGTAGATACCCAAGACCCTCTTACCTCCCTTGTATTTGTCGTCGTCCCCATGAACGGGGAAGAACCATGCCTGCGTCACCCTAGGCCACTGCAGAGACCCCAGAATGTGGTGGGGATGGGGGACACTGATGTGCTTTATAGGAGCCAGCCTCGGCAACCCGCAAACAAAAGCCGCAGAAGCGATGTAAAGTACCCCCAACACATTTTAAAAACAAATTGCGTGCTCACACTCGTCAGCCCCCTTCCCCTCACCACCTGTCTGCTCCGCCGGTGGGCTCACGACCACCTGTCGCATCCCCGCGCGCTCCTGCACCCCCTTCGCACGCGCCCGAAGCTTTGCGCTCCAGACTCGGGACTTAGGATCTGAGGCTGCTCAGGGCTGGGGGCTGCGGCTCAGGGGTGCAGGGGTAATTTGGGGTTACGAAACACTCCTGCAGTCCCCCCTCCCCCCGAGGAGAGTCTGTTGGGTCTGGGAGGGAGGGGTTCAGCTCCTGCGCTCCCGCAGCCCGGGGCCCACGTCTTGCGTCACGTGTCCTGCAACGCAGAAGAGCGCTCTCTCTGACCAGGGGAGAAGAGAGGAGAAACACTCCAAATCAGTCAGGGAGAGGACTGGAAGGAGCCAAACATCCCTGCGAGGCCTGCGCGCATCAGCCCCCTTACCCAAAGTCTGGGGCTCCCGGAGCCTGGCGCCGGCTCCCGGAGCCACCTCGACACTGGACCTGCGTCCTCTGGTGGCAGAAAAAGAGCACTACGAGCGATTTTCGGACCGAATCGGCGCGCTCCTCTGATCCAAGCAGGCGGGGCTGGCCTGGGACTGAGCAAAAGAGAGAGGAGAGGACAAGTAAGGCCAAAGGGAGGGGGGGGCCAGGGGCAGCCTGAGGGCATTAAAAAGTGACCAGAAAGGAGCCAAGACTCAACAAGCAAAAGTAGACTTGTTTTTGCCATGGTCTGGGGTTCGAGGCCTTGAACCCCTGAACCCCTAGACCTCACTAGGGTTGGAAAGTGAGGTAGGAGAACTTTCCAGCTGGTACTTTGCTTTATTTTTTTGAAAATAATTTTTTTCACCCTAGTTCGGTTGGGTGCTCCGTCTCACGGGGCCCCAAGTTTATTTTAAGAAACCGCCACCGTGTTATGGGCGTGCGCAACTGCCTCGACGGCAATAATATGTCAGGACAACGCGATAACCCCCTTGAACTCGGGGAACAGCCCGAGCAACCACCTTTGGAGGCCCCAGGGGCAGCTGCCCCCGGTGCTGGGCCTGGCCCAGCCGAAGAGATGGAGACCCCACCGCCTCACAGCGAGCCCATCCCCATCGAGACTGAAGGCGAAGCCTGTGGACCCCCAGAGGTCTCCAGACCCAACTTCCAGGACCTCAGCCAGGCCTTCAAGGAAGCCGGGGCCCATGGAGGGTACAGCCCACCTCCCGAGGAAGCCATGCCCTTCGAGGTCGAACAGGCCAGCTTGGGAAGCTTCTGGCCTACCCTGGAGCATCCTGGAGACACCACTGGGACCAGTGCAGGCCTTGAGGCCTTCAGCCCACCGGTCATGGAGCCCGGAGCCTCCCATGAGGCCGTTCCAAGCCTGGGAAGCTACAGCCCTCCACCAGAAGAAGCCATGCCTTTTGAGTTTGAGCAGCCTGACCAGGGAGACAACCAACCTCCCTTGCAGGTCTCAGACCTTGCTCCAGGAGGCCCAGGTTCGGTGGTCTTCAGGGCTCCTCCCGAGGAGCCCCGAGCCATCAGACCTGCAAACGCAGGCATCAGAGGAGGATGCAGCCCTCCCCACAAGGAGGATCTGCCATTCGAGTTTGATGGAGCAGCCTTGGGGGACGACAGCCCACCCCCTGGGCTCCCCCGAGCTATCCCACAGATCGACGGCGGAGGGGGCAGCCAGATCACGACAGTCGCGGTCTCGAGTGCGATCCTCCTCGCTCCCGCCGCGAACGAGCCCCCCCTCTGGGTCCCCGGCATCATCGGCAGCCCATCTCGAGAGGCTCTCAGACCTCCTCCACACTTCGCGGGAGACAGCCCCCCGATGGAGGTCTCCAGACCCCCGCGCGAGGTTGGCAGCGCCCCCGTTGGGGTCGATGACGCTCCCGGCGACATGGACAGCCCCCCAGTCGCGCCTGACGTTCTGCGCATCGAGGTCTCCGGAGCTCCCGTTGAGAGAGAGCAAGCAGAAGGAGAGAGACCCCCAGCTGAGGGAGAAGCAGCCGAGATGGAGGGAGGCTCAGCCACCACTGCCGCGGAGGGAGGCAAGGTCCCCGATCCCGGGGACGGAGCCCCTGCCGCTGCCACCGAGGCAGCACTGGCCGCTCCAGCCGCCGAGGCAGCCTCGGCTGCTCCAGACCCCCCAGCCGCTGGAGCAGCCCCTGCCGCTCCTGCCGCCCCAGCCGCTCCTGCCGCCCCAGCCGCTTCTGTCGCTGGGGCAGCCCCGGCCGCTCTTGTCGCCAGGGGAGCCCCTGTTGGCCGAGCGGCTCCTGTCCCCCGGGCAGCCACTGTCCCCCGGGCAGCCACTGTCCCCCGGGCAGCCTCCGTCCCCCGGGCCACTCCTATCACCTGGGCAAACCCCGCCTCGGGAGCCCGACCCGAGATCAGTTTCCTTAGACCCCCAAGCCCAGAGATCCAGGCTGCCGATCCGCCTGTTCCGCAGCCTCCGCGCGCATCTGCCTGGCGGGGCAGGTCAGAGCCCAGCTGCTGTTACCTCTACAACGACCAGATATCGGTCAGCAGCGACAGCGGAGACGAATCCGACGATGGGACCTTCGGATGCCGCCGCTGGTTTTCGTCCAAGCGAAACCGTCGCCGCCGAAAGCCCCGGCGCAACTTGCTCCACAACTTCCTCGTCCGGGTCTTCCGAGGCTGCGTCTTCGGATCCGAGAGCCCCCAGTTCAGAGGCTCCTTCAGCCCCAAGGTCAAGAAGGTTGCCTTGGCGGAGAAGCGCAGACAAGACCGCAAGGAAAACGCGGGGAAGCGTGGCCAGAAGTGGTCCGAGAAGAGACAGAGCCAGCTCACCAACAAGCAACTCCAGAACAAGAAGATGGACAACTCGCATACGCACCGCATGCTGTTTCTAGGTAATGCGGCGGACTTTGCCCGTGGGGAGCAGGGCCACCCAGGAACCCCGGGAGCGGGTGGCAGGGCTGCCCGATGGGCCTCCAGGCCTGGCGGCGGGAGGGGGGTGTCTGGGCCGAGGCGGGAAGAACCTGCCAGAAAGTTCCAGCATGGGGCCCTAACTTTGCCCTGGGAGCGGGAGGGATCTTGGGTGGGCTTGGGTGGGGAAATATGTGCCCTTTGGAGGATAAACATGGTGCGATGCAACACTTGAGGGTCGTTTCCAGCTGGACAAACCAGTGCCAGCGATCGTAAGACCACGTCGCCGAGTCGTGGGGTGGGGGACGGCAAGAAAGGCGGGGGCTTCAGGTGAGCCAGGAACTGCTTCGCTCTTGCTAGCTGGCTGGGGCTGTTGGTGGGTTGGGGGTTGATGGAGAACGTGCGTCCCTGCCTCGCCCGGCACGGCTTCCCGTATCAGACAGCTTGTTGTGGGTGTGCATCGGTGTCCACATTGTGTCCGCCTGTGCATGGTATCCTCAAGTGTTCTCCAACCCCCATCCCTGGCACCCCCCAAATTACCCGCCGACTGTGTACTTGTACTGGGGAATGGGCTGTCTTGTGTTTTGCGCCATTGCGCGGGCAAAAAACTTTCCGTGTACACACACTCCGGCGGTACCTGTGTGCTGGCGCTCTGCAGCGGGCGGCGCGAAAAGCCTTAGAAAGTAGCGGGAGATGCCCGGGAGGATATGGGGCCGCTAGCTGAGCTGGGGGCGGGGGCCGCCTCTGGGCGGCCTCCATAACCTATTTTCTGTCTGTCTTTCTCTCTTTTTTCCCCTTTGCGCTAAGCGTTTCCTCACTTCTTATTCGTTCGCCAAACCCTCCCGCCTTTACGGTTGAAAAACCAGACACGCAGGTATCTGGGGCGTCCGGGACTGCGCGCAAAAATTTGGTATTCTGCACACATTCGGCTTACCTGGTGGGGGATGAAGGGAGGAGGGGCAAAAAAGTCCTACTTAACCTTCTGCAGGCGAGTTCGGATCCCGAACCACACCGGGGCTGGTTCCAGGGGCTGGGCGTGGCTATGTTTAAAAACTATGAAATCATTTTTTTTTTAACCTAGGGAAGAGCCTGAGGTAAGCCAATCCTTTACCCTTTTTCCGGATACAGTAGGAGGGGCTTGGTTCTAAGAGAGGGGTTATGCGTTGGGAGTGGAATGCCCGTCTTGTGTTTGAAATGCAATTCAAATAAAACTTTTTAAAAAATGCTTCCAGTGTATTTTAAGTGTATGGATAAAATGTGAAAAAACTGTGAGACATGTAAATGTTTACATGTGAATTTTTTTCAAGCAGCTTTAGCTGGGGGCAGAGAGGCTCAAAGGTAAGACCCTCAGCATATGGGCTTGGGATACAAAAACATTGAAAGATCTGTTAATAATCCCATTGGGAGGATACCGTTGATGGCCCTGGCCTCCCCCCCCCCCTCCTCCTCCCCTCACCTATGCCACCCTCAGGGGTCCCTCCCCTTTCCAACAGCCTACTCCTCCCCCCCACAACAAGACCCTCTGCTGCATCTCCCCAGTCCTTCCCTGGCCCCGCCCAGGCCCCCTCCCTCCTGCACCCTCCCCTAGATTCTCCTTCCCTCAAATCTGGGTCTTGATTCCTGTGCCACAGTTAATCAGAGCAGCAAATTAGCAAAGATCTGAATGTGTGGCTTAAATGAAGATTTCAAAAGTGAAACTCCACAATCCTAATTTCTTTATTTTGCTTATTCTCTAAGCCCTCTCAAGGGATTTCAAGATTACAATTTTTCAGGCTGTGCTACATTTGCGAAATATTTTGTAATGTGCCATATAACTGTGTGCTATTGTGATGTGTGCTTTTCACGAGTCACAGTTTTAAATGTGATGGTCATTTTATTCATGCCCACCTAGGGAAATAAGGACAGCATCATTTCCCTCAAAAACATCCAGGAGGGAGGTAGTGTTACACTTCAGATGCCCCAACTGCACTAAAGGCCCGGAGCCTCAAATGACAATGTGTTCTTCTCCTGCGGACACCTGATTTTGCCACAACAGCTCCATTTCAACATTCCAAACATAGCACTGGGTGGGACACCTGTGATGGGGCAGACAGGAGAGCCAAGGTATGATGTGCACCTGACACCTGATTGGCAGTGTCCTTCACATACTGCAGCCTCAGTTGCCTTATTTGTAAAAATCTTTCAAGCAGATCTTTACTAAATTCTCCTTTGCTCCATGCCCAGAATCCCCTATTCTAGGGCTTTAGCATGGGGAGCATCATCCACTTAAGTCAAGACTGGAGGCTTTTGCCATAGGTTATACATACATCTACCCTGCAGCACACAGTCCATGTCTGGGGCTGAGCCTTAAGAACATTACAAGTTTCCCTTGCTTACCCTTGTTTTGATGCAGGGGGGAAAATTCACCTTATAAAGAAGATTAGCTGGGGTCACCCTGCATCACCCTGGTCCTGCACCCAGGTCAAGCACCTTTGCATGCAGTGTAGTCCAGTGAGCCGTGGGCCCTGTCTATCAGGAAAACCTGAATTCAAAAAGCCAGGTTGCCTGCTGTGTCAATGTGGCTCGTTGAGCCAGGCAGCAATCTGATAAGATTTCGTTTTTGTTTTTGTTTTGTTTTTTACCGAAGTGACAAGAAAGGTACCCCACTGGATCTGAATGACTGATTGGGGAGGGGGAGAGAAGGCAGGGTGAAGACCCATGTACATCTAGGACAAACATTTTCACTAACATTTAAATCCTAACACATAAAACAAGACAGCCATATATGCCCACCCCTGAAAATGCAGACCAAATGACCATCTTTTGATAATTTGTGACATACAGATTCAACTGTTGCTTTAACAACACGTGTGCATTTCTGTGTATATACCTTCTCCATTTTTATTGCCCAAACAGCTTAACCACATCACAGAGAATCTTTTTTTTTTCCCCCACAGAGAATCTTAAAAAGATAGATAGTTAGATCATCGAATAGCTAAAAAAAATGAAGTCCATTTCTTACTCAACACTATCCAATGATAGATTTATTTCCATGTTTCTGTTGCCTTTCTGAGTAATTTCAGTGGCTTAAACATGTTTTTTGGAAACCTAATTTGGATGATTCCCTCATTTTCCTTTAAGAATTGAAGGGACTGCTAGGTTAGAATTTCTTAGTAGCTGCTACATTTATTAAAGTTGTGCAGGTAAATGCTATATATAATAATGACTATTCTGCCATGACACTTATACAGTGAATCTCAATTAATTGTAAGATCATTTATGCCACCAAGTACAACAGTGAGGGCTTCATCTCATCCTGCTACAGTACCCCTTTCCTTTTTTCTTTTTTCTTTTTCAGTTCAGCCCTTTTTTCCTTTTTTCAAAATGCTTCCACTGAGTCATTTGCTGCAGTGGGAAAGTCATGGCTTATCAGGCCAAAAATCTCTTCCTTGCCTTTTAAAATCCAATTTCCTACAGATTTTCCTTCAAGTGAAACTGTTTTTCTACATAGCTATGTTAATTTTTATCATTTGCCTACATTACAAATACCATGGAAAACTGGTATTAAGCAAAAAAAAAAAAAAATAATGTTTGTCACTTTTTTGTTTATTCCTCCCACCTCCTTACCTTCCCCACACCCAGCTTGAAAGGAACAGCCTCACTGCCTTCAGAGTTATTAGTAACCTGTAATAGTAATGATTACACATAATGATAGCACATTCTTACGGTATTTTTTAAAGCCTTTAATCCAGTCACATTTGTCCTTTGCAATAGCCTTGGGCAATAAAAATGTGATGGGACCCCATTTCACAGGCAAATAAACCAAAAGCCTAGTGATTAAATGTCAGGTACTTTTGCTCAACTCTGCAAGGTAAGTGAGGGAGTCAGAATTTCTGTTTCTAATTCCCTGCTTGTCCCCAAAATGCCGTGATAGGCTATAAGGCATCATTTTGTAAGTGTGCTGTGTGTTCACTAATCCCTTGTCAGATGACAGGTGTCCGGCAGTCTTCTGCTTCCTGAATTATAGCCAGAACCAGACAGATCCCTGCTTATAAATGTCCACTGTGTGTCCGTGAAACGTGAGCCTCCCCATTTCTGGAATACCTGTCACTGTTCTGGTGGTATTTTGTTTCCACATTTGTTGTAACCCATCTGCCAACACCACAGCCTTAGTTTGTTTGTAGGACTTCTTTTTTTAAAAGCAGGTTTTCCTTAAAGACTTTTAAAAATCCCCCAGAAGTATTCGTTAGTGAGGTCTAAAGTTTTTCTCTTTACTCAGGTTTCTACTAAAAAAAACACACACCAAAAAATACACCATCATCATCATTTAAAAATAGTTGCTTTTGTACCTAGACCCCTCCATTTTTAGTGTTCCAGTGTAATAGACTTGTTTAGAATCTCCTGGCCTGGATCTAATGACCCTATTAAAATAACTCTTGCTCAATATTCTTCATAGTGATTATTTTTTAAAAAGTATTCCTTCCTTTTAGTCAGGATTAATTCCTTCTTAGTGAAAGTCAGTGTATAATCTTAGAAATCAACTTTGAATTTTATGGAGGAAGGTTGATATAAAGCAAAAAGAAAAAAAGAAATTTTTTTTTTTTAGAAATCATTTTTAGAGAAGGTAACCTAATTGACTAGATTTGAAATTCTTCATATCAACCATGCATCTTTTTAGAGTCAATTTCCCCACCATAGGAAACATACCTTTCACCCCCAGCAGAACTGTGACCCTCCAAATCCCTCCCCATGAAGTGATTTTGGGGAGACGAATAGATTGCAAAGGCAAACTGTTCTCTACACTTCTTGGGTTCTTTAACCTGTGTCAGAGGTGGGGTTCATCCCAGCTCACCTTGTGCCTCTTGGTGTTCCTAATGGAATGTGAAATTAACATGCCCATTGTCCATTTCAAAATCTGATTCCACTGAAAGTGTAGGGATTTTCAAAATAGAAAGGGCAGGGCCAATTTATGTGACCGGGTCCCCACTAACAATGAAAAAAGTTAGTTGAGGAGGAAACTGCAAGCAGGGGTCAGCCTAATTAACACTCTCCAGCCCTGGTGGCCCCCCAGGAAGAGGGACTCAGACTCTGGCCCTGTTAACACCAACCTCAACAGGTTTCATTGAATTACACTTAAAGAGTCTTTGTTCCATCAGATTCCTGTTCTGGCCCTTGGTCACGAGGGGCATAAGATGGTGAAAGTCGGGCCGGGGTCTCTCTCTTTGTGATTCCTCTAAAGGGTCAACTAGTCCAAGTGGTCTTTATAAAACTGAGGAAGGCTAACGGGAACTCCCAGATACAAACTGACAATTGGCATAGGCCAAGGAGCCTCTGAAAAGGG